CCCCCCCTCTGCTGAGCGCCGCGCCACCGGAGCGCCCCCCCCCCGCGGAATGCCGCGCCGCGCTGCCCCCCGCCACCTCAAGATTGGCCGCCCCTTACCAGGTGCCGCCCCAAGCATGTGCTTGGTTGCCTGGTGCCTGGAGCCGGCCCTGCTCAATGACTTCTAGTGGCAATGAGTTCCAAGGTCTCTTCCAGTTCTAGGAGATGGGATATCTCCATTAATAATAAATAAATAAATAAATAAATCCATAGGCTAAATGTCCCGTGGACAGAATATTCCTTACCAGTTTTAAATATGCTGCCTTTCAATATAAGTGTCTAGTCCCTTTGACTTTGAGTGCTTCACTCAACTTGCTGGAAGAAAACAGGCAAGTCGGTTTCACTTTTGTTTCTAGGCCAGTCAGAGAGCTTGCTTGTGAGTTTCCTGTATTCAGCAGTGTTCTCCTTGCAGTACTGAAGTCCAAGCCCAAGTCTGGTTTTACTCACATTTTGTTGAAAAGAAAAAAAAAGAACGTGAAAAGATTTCTATACTGATTGTTACAAACATGGGGAGAAAGGGGAAGAGGGCTCTGTTCTAAGTGGCTCTTTAGCCACTACAGCTGGAACAACTGCCTTGCCCACTCACTTTCTCCTTGGGGACTCCTTGCTCCAGCCCACTGAGCTAATAACGCCCCGCAGTAGTTCGCAAGGGCAGCCAGCCCGGGACGATGAAGACCAGTGACTTTTCCAGGCGTCCCCGCCTTGATCCCCCAGAGCCCGGCCTCCCTGCCGTAGGGGACCATGTGCAGCAGGGGGTGATGATGGCTCTTGGCTCGCTCGTGCCAGCCAGGTCACAATAGATCTCATGCCGCTGGCTCCGGGCGGAGGGAGAGTCCCGGGCGGGCGGCTGTGGAATGAAGCGAGGCAGCCGCAGTTGTCAGTCCCGTCACTGCTGCTGGAAGAACAACGGGGGGCTCCAGTTTCTGCCGCGGCGGGCGGCGTTAACCTTTGCGGCGCGCAGCCTGCCAGCGACGGGGGCTTTTGCCCACCAGCAGCGGGCGATGAGCGGCGCAGCCGGGCTGAACCGCGGCCGCGCAGGGCAGGTCTAAGGGGCAGAGAGCGGCGCTCGGCCGGGGACCGCTGAGCTGGGCCATTGTCTCCGACCATGCGAAGCGCCCTGTGAGCCGAGCTGCTGCGGCCGCTGCTGGGATGAGCGCCTCGGCGGCCACCGGGGTCTTCGTCCTGTCCCTCACCGCCATCCCCGTCACTTACCTCTTCAACTTCTTAGCCGCCAGCAGCAGGTGAGCCGCGGGGGGGTCCCCGTGCGCCCGGGCTGGGCTGGGAGTGGGGAGCCGAGCGCCCGGGGGGGGCAGTCAGGGCGCGCTCCCGGGCTGCTCATTGCGCAGCGTATTTTTAGAAGCTGGGCATGGAAAGGACAAACGTGGACCCGAGCGAGGTACAACAATAACCGGCGCCAAGGGAGTGGGCGGGCGAGGCCGCCCGGGCTGGGAGCTGAGGCCCCGGCGGGAGCTGAGTCCAGGAGGGTTGGAGGCTGAGAGCTTGGGGGTGGGAGGTGGGGTTAAGCTGGGACCAGGACAAGTGATTTGGGCGGAAATGGTGCAAAAAGCTGAGAGCTGGGACCTGGGTTTGGGCCTGGGGAGCTGACCACTGGTGGAGCAAGAAGTTGTCCTTTGTTGGGGCAAAATATCTCAGGTAAAGCAAAAACAATGAGGAGTCCTTGTGGCACCGTAGAGACTAACACATGTATTTGGGCATAAGCTTTCGTGGGCTAGAACCCACTTCATCCGATGCATGGGGTGGAAAATATATGAAAGGATGAGAGTTGCCTTACCAAGGGTGAGGTCAGTCTAACCAGAAAAATCATTTAATAGCAAGACATCAAGGGAGGAAAAATAACTTTTGAAGTGGTAATGAGAGTGGCCCATTTCAGACAGTTGACAAGAAGGTGTGAGTAACAGTAGGGGGAAATTAGTATTAGGGATATTAGGTTTAGGTTTTGTAATGACCCAACAACTCCCAGTCTGATGGTGTCCGGTTTGCAAATTAATTTCAGTTCTGCAGTTTCAACAAAAAAACTTCAAAAACAGACTCCAAAATGAAACTGCAGAACTGGAATTAATCTGCAAACTGGACACCATCAGATTAGGAGTGATTGGGTCATTACAAAA